GTTTAGTCGTTAGGTAGATAAGATTGTTCTAGCCATTGAACCAAATCTTTATGGCAAGTATTATAATTTTCTGAGAACAAGAGGGAACCAGTCTTCTGTACGTAATAGAATTAACCTAATGTTATGATAGACCTGGACTTGGGCAAGACAGAGCCAGGCAGACTCAGTATGGTTGATTTTGTGGTAGCAAGATAGATATTTTGGAGCAAGACAAATAAAAGGTTATAGATTCATAGGATAAGGAAAATATTAAAAAGTAAAAATTCAATAATTAAACTGTCAGAAGGTAGCATAAAGGTATCAATGAGAGTCTGGAGAGAAGGATGGTTTGTGATCATGGAAGGTGACTTTCAGGTTAACTGTACAAGTTGGCTTAGCATGTGTGTCAGCATGAAGCTCTTTGGTTTACAGATTGAGATGTGGCCATTGAAAAGTACCAGTCTAGAGATACACTCTCAGCAGTCATGTGTGTGGAAGGAATGATTGGATTTACTTTTATATTCTGATTCTGTTATATAAGCTTAAGGAGTAGAGGTATAATATGGTTAAATGTGTCACTCCTAGAGTCATCTATCTGTGCAACGGGATTTTCTGCAACCATGGAGGCAGTTTGCAGACTTTTCCAGACCTGTGCAGATCTTCTCTGCTGAACCAGGGTCTGAGGACCTGAAAGAATGTGGCAGACTATAGCCTAGTGTTGCAGACAGACTTCAGTTTTAGTGTACTTTTATACAGGAATGAAACAGAGAGCAGTGATCTAAGAAAGGCTATTTGAGTTTAGAAAACCATTGATAAAATGTGTAAATAAATGTTAGTAAGTACATACTAAATATTAACAATCCTTTCCCAGATCTTTCTCAGGACAGACCAATTTAAATACAATACCTGGCCTGTACTATAGATTATATCTGGGAAGGCATGAAATCAAGGCAGAAGGCCATAGCCAGATTCAGGGTACATTGAAGATTGGGTTCCATAGCTATGTTCTGACATCCAGCAAGAGTGAACATTCAATGTCTAATAAATTGAGTGTAAATGTTTGTCACCGGAGGCATGAAATCATGACAGAGAACAGTTCAGGGGACAAAATGCACCTGAGGTAAAAGGCCCTCTCTCATGGTTCCCCAAGGCATTGTCCATCATGGGTCATTCTTTTGATGTTATTCTGATGCCTCCTCCAGTACATAGCTCCTGGGTGTGTGTAACCTATTAACCGTGTGCAAAGAGTGCTGTGGAGGAGCAAGTGTTTAGTTTCTATATGATCCATTTATTTAGAGCAGTGTATTTAGAGCAGTGATTCTCAATCTGTGACCTGTGACTGTTTCACAGGGGTCTTCCAAGACAATGGGAAAACACGTACTTCCTTAGTCTTAGGAACTGAGACACTGCTCCTCTATCCATCTCCAGGAGGGTCTACCCATATGCAGATGTGCTCTCAAATGAGTACCTGGTGTGGTGACATCATTACACCAACTCTATCACACACACCCCAAACAAACGCAGGTGTATGTGACACAGTTGGCACCATAATGTACTTATGTGGACAGTCACACATGTGTAGAGAGCAGCCACTGTGTTGAAAGTAGCAATATTGGAGACAAAAATGACACTTCATGAATTATAATTATTGGGTAATTGTAAAATTATGCGATGCGTACACACACACACACACACACACACACACACACACACACACACAGGTATTGGGATCAGCCAACCTGTTCCAACGTGCCTGAAAAGAGGAGTGAGGATTGAGAAAAGAGACAAAAGACAAGAGATAGATTCGGGAGGGGTTTCACTGAATACTGGAACTACCCTAAGTTTATTTCTCATAGCCCTTATATACCCCAACCAAAAGGAGAGGGCAAAAGACTTGTTTACCATGATACAAGGAACAAGCCAGCAGATTAATTACTTCCTCAATATTCAAAACATCTAGTAACCATGCCCTAAGTCAAATATCCTATTATTAGTTCTCTAGGAGCAAAACATACAGTAGCCACATTTTGACCAAGCATCCTGTTGTTTAGTCTTGAGGAGCAAGACTAGGTTTGAACTCTCTGACCTTAAGTCAGGACAGAACAGAGTCAATACTGTGGGCTCCAATATGTATTAAAAAAATCAAAAAACAAAAACAAAAAAACAACAAAAATCATAAGGAATTTTAATGATTGTATTGACTGAACTATTCCATGTATTATCTTTCTTTTTGTTTTGTTTTTTGAGACAGGGTTTCTCTGTGTAATAGTCCTGGCTGTCCTGGAACTCACTTTGTAGACCAGGCTGACCTCGAACTCACTGAGATCCTCCTGCCTCTGTCTCCCAAGTGCTGGAATTAAAGGTGTGCACCAGCAATACCTGGCTCATGTATCATCTTTTGTGTTGTTAAAAGTATTGTTATAAACTATTTTAATTGGAAAACCATCCCATGACAGTGGATCGTGTAGAGAAGAATGTTAAGAAAGTATAGTGAGGATTTTTTTTTCTATCAGCCGAATCGGCGAAGCCAAACAAACTAAAACAGCATTTTGATAACAACATCTGAGATTTGCTGGCAAAGATACAAGCTTTGCTGGCAAAGATACCAACTGTTTTAGAAGCAAAGCTGAAGGACTCAAGAAAGCCAGACTTGACACTGGTAGATAATAACATAAACAAGATGTAGCATGTATTAAAGCCTCATGTTTGGAGGAAACTCAGAGTCACTGGGCTCTGAAACCTCACACCATTGCTGAAGATTTTCTGTTGCCAGCAGCCAAAGATATTGTTCAAGTTACAATCAGGGACAGATTTGTTAGACACTTGAGTGCAATTTCCTTAACTAACGACACTGTTTGCAGAAGAATATTCTTGATCAGGAAATCCAGGAAATTAAATCTGTTCCATTTCAATATTTAGTATCCAGCCGGATGAAATTTCTAGACATTGCAAGCTGTTCACAGCTACTAGCTTATGTGAGGTATATTAATAATGGCAACTTTAATGATGGGTTTCTTTTTTGCAAACTTCTTGAAACACTGACTACTGCACATGATGTATTTGACACAGTTGGTCCGTTTCTAAAAGAGCATAAGCTCTCTTGGGAAAAGTTTGTGGTGTTTACACAGATGGTGCTGTGGCTATGCTAGGATGTTGATGTGGATTTCAACTTTGGGTACTGAATGAGTCACCAAAAGTCATTGGAACTTACTGTATGATTCATCGGCAAATATTAGCAATGAGGACAGTGCCACAAGAGTTACAAGAAGTCATGAAAAGCATGAATTCTATCAATTTTATAAAGGTTAGCGCTTTAAACAGTCGACTGTTTTCTCAAGTGTGCTATGAGTTGAACACACAAACAAAGCTCTGCTATTTCACATTGAAGAGAGATGGTTGTTGAGAGGAAAAGTTTTAAGACATGTTTTTGAGGTTCGTGATGAACTCAAAATGTTTCATCAGAAAGCAAGACTGCAGTTCAGAGCACTTTTCATTGATGAAAGTGATTTGCAGAAAACAGCTTACTTGGATTACATCTTTGCCATGTTGAATGAATTAAATTTATCACTGTGAGGACAAAATAAAACATTCCTCGATTTGTCTGAAAGATCCCATCATTCCAAATGAAACTTCAACTTAAAAAACAAAAACAGATTGTATAATAGAATTCACATGTTGCCTATCTTACCTGCTTTTTTTTGAACCAGACAAAAGGATTATGATGATAATTTCCGTGAAAGAACTCTTATATATGCTTGCAGATGAAATTCCATTGCATTTTCCAAATCTATCAGACACCCCATTTGCACTTTCCATAAGCCCATTCACAGTCAAAATTGAAGATGTCTCTGAGACAGCACAAGATGAGTTCATTGAACTCATTAACAAGGATGCAGCAAGAACTGATTTCTTTACAAGGTCATTTACGAAATTCTGGATCAAGTGTTTGCAGTCTTATCCTGTTCTGTCCGAGGCTGTGTTGTGCCTTCTTCTCCCATTTCCAACAGCATATCTTTGTGAAATAGGGTTTTCCAGATTGCTGGTTTATCAAATCTATGTGGAGGAGGATCTTCGTTGCGCTCTTGTAAGCACTACCCGAAGAATCTCTGATGTGATGAGAAAGAAGCAATCTCAACCTTCCAATGACATTGGCTCTTTACACCTGCTGTCACAAAATGTACCAATGTAGCTTACTGTTGTTATATTATGGCTGTTACCCATGCTATACCATGCTTCAAGACAAAATTTCATTTATTTGTAATTAGAAATAAATAGTTCATAATATATAATCACATATTGTTTTTTGTGATTAATCACAATGGCTGAAATTATGTTCAGTTTATAACAATGAAACCTGTATTAAAAGGTCACAACTTTAGGAAGGTTGAATACCACTGATTTAGAGGGTGCAGTGTAATCATTTCACATATGCTTATTGCATAGACATATTGATGCACATGATAAAATTAGGGCACTTAACATTTCTTTGTGTTGGGAACCTTCTGACTTGTAGTTGTTTGGAGACATAAAATACATTGTTATAAGCTATATCCGCCTTTCTTTGAGCCTGAAGTACTCGAACTTAGTCTTTTCTGTATTTGTTGTCTTTCACTCAGACTCTTTGTTCCTCACCTAGGCCTGGGCTCTCCAGCATATAGTGGCTATTAGTCTACTTTACCTGTAGGGCATCCAATTTTTCTATTTCCACCTCAGCCAGAATGTTCAGTTTTTGTCTGTGAATTCCTAATTTTCAACACTTTAATGAATTTCTTTGCAATCCCTTTTTAGAGATATAATTGACAAATGCAATTACATGTACTTAACATGATGATTGAATGAACATATACATTGTGAAGTGACTGCAATCATGTTAACTAACTCATCTGTCACTTTTGTGTGTCTGTGTGTGTGTGGTGAGAACATTGGAGATCTGTTTTATTAACTGCTGCATAAGAACTGTAAAGTGCCAACAAGATGGCTCTGCAGTTAAAAAAATCTAACAATGTGAATTTGATCCCCAGATTCCACAGTGGAAGAAAAGAAACAACTTCTGAAAGTGGTCCTCTCACTTCCACACTCCTTTGATTTCAGGAATCTTCCTGCTTCTGTATCCTAAGGACTGGAATTGTGGGTGTGTGCCATCATATCTGGCTCCATGAGATGTTTTGATACATGTGTCCGTTGTATAATGTTCAGACCAGTGTAAACATATTTATCTTCTAAAACATTATTTCTTTCTGATGAAAACATTCAAATCCCTTTGATCCAGTTTAACAAATATACAGCAGATTATCATAGAAAACTTTACCTAACTACAACTTTGAGCCCATTACTTACCTCCCCCAGTCTTGCTAATCACATTAATTGCTTTCTGTTTCTGTGAATATATATATGTATATATATATATATATATGGCATTGCTGAGTTTTGTCTTTCTTTGCCTTGCTTATTTTATTCAGCACAAAGTTCTTCAGGTTCAGTCATGTTGCTGAAAATGATAGAGTTCTTTTCTTTTGGAATGATGAGTCATGTACAGATATACTATGACTCCTGTACATCATTTTAATTCACTTACCCATTAATAGACACTTTGGTTGATCCAAAGGTTAGGGTTCGGGTTAGACTGACAAGTAATACTTCAGTGAACATGGGACTGTGATATTTTTGACACACTCATGTGTAACCCTTAAGATACATATTCCAAGAAGTGAGATTTTGGGTCATATGGAATTTATTCTTACAGCATTTTGAAGAATATCTGCATTATTTTGTTATTGCTATTCTAATTTATATTCCTAACAGCTGCTCAACTGTTCCCTTTCTCCACTCTCCTATTATCAACATCTTATAGTAAAACAATTTGATTTTTTCATTTGATAGAAATTCAGGAAAAATGAAACATTTTAAATATACATTTACAGGTCATTGATTAGTGACAGTGGATAAATTTGAGGGAGTTTTCTGTAAAGTAGCTTCAACTGGCACTTTTCAGCCACCGAGGCTCCCTTGTATGGCCAGACTTTGAGGTTATGAGTCCTGTAGGTAATAGGCATGTCCATTAGTGCAGTCATTTGAATAACAGACACAGACTCACGCTTTACAGTAGCTGTTTATGCAAAATTCAATTCAGGTTTACACAATTGTTGGTTCAAATGAATAACTTACGCAAATTCTCTCATGTGGACATCATATAGTTTCCCTTTCAAGTGAAATTTAAGATTCAAGGATTCAAATAATCAGTGTCTGTTGTCACCATGGTGATCCACCATTGCAAATACTCCACAGCTGGGGAGGATCCTCATCAACAACATACTAGCCTCCTCATGCTCTTCCCTCCTCAGCAAAACAGTCTTCCCACCAACATGCCCAACCTCCTCCTTCTGCTCTTGTCTTGAAAGTTGCTTGCTGGAGCCTGGAGACTGAGTCACCCTTCCATGTGATTCCTCACTCCCACTTATTCTTTGAAAAGGAGGAGACTTCAAGGTCCTGACAGAGGTCACTTGTGGTGAACTGGGAGTGTGGTCCCCTCAGACTTCTTTGGAAATGAAGAGCTCCCAGAAGAAGGTGTTTGTTTCTCAGGAAGATGGTTCAGGCAGGAATCAGGAGTTTTAGGAGTCATTGTCCAGTTAGTAAAGACCATTGTGAATGGCTGGCCTGGAACATGACTGGATATGTGAAGGGAGTCAATGCACAGCTGGGCAGTGTTCAGATGAGCTATGTTGTATGGTGGCTATTGCTCAATGCTCAGAGCCTGGGCAAGGATTTTCCTGGTCATTTGGGATGACCTTTTTGGTCAAAGCCTACTGGTACTGCAAGGAGTCTTTACAGTCTAGAGTGCCTTCAAGTGAGCTCAATTTCTGTTTCCTTGACGAGTTCTGTCATCAGCACCACGTGGGGAACCTGGAAATGTGTCTTGCCTAATACCTGGAAGCTGAGTTTATGGACTTTCCATCTGTAGGAAGGGCAAGACATAGTCAGGCTGTTTTGCTGTCATTGGGATACTGAGCTGATAATTGAGGGTCGAACACTTCACACTAAGTGTTCTGGAGGCAGCTTTGAGAACTTGATGAGAGTGACCATCTAGATGTTGACACATCAGGTTCTCAACAGCAGGGATTTGGTCATAGTTCCTCCTCATAGTGGCTTGAGGACACCCATGGCAGTCATATCCTGAACTTTATATGGCCATGGAGATGAGTAGTGGGTTCAGGGATCTGAATATGAGGTGCTGCAGGGGACACAGGTCTGCTGCCAGATTTCCTGATGGATAGCAGACTAGTTTGAATACAGTCTATAACAATTGCTTCCTGTTTATGTGAATGAGCTTGTCTGGATGATCCAGATAGTCAGAGTTTAGCCACATTCATATGGCTTTGCTATTCCTTCTTTTGATATTAGAAAAGCTGTCTGCTGTTTTTCTTGCCCTTATCTTTGATCTGTCTGTCTCACTACCTGAGCTGTGAGGATTCTGGATCTTTTGTGAGTCCTGGGTTTCCTTCTTTGGGCTCAGAAAATATAGAACTGTGTACCCCTGCCACCACTTGACAGGACAACCCCTTCTGCTTTCAGTGTGATCAAAGGCCCCACAGTTTCTGCATTTCACCCTGGAGATCTATTCTGGTGGGGAAGCCATGTGTCCAATAAGTACCCCTGTTTTTCAATATAGTCTGAGCTTTAATGGGTTGGTGGTATGATGACCTGCCTCCTGTCTCATGTCTTTAGAGTCAGATTAGCCTTTTGTAACTCTTGATTTGTGAGTTCCCAGAGTTAGCTATCTTCCTATTGTCTTTCATTATGTTCTCTGAGAGGTGGTTGCTAGAGGCATAATACAAGGAAGGATGTTGCTTTCAGAATATTAATGGAAAGAAAAATCTTGAGCTACTGATTTGAAGGCTAATTTATCCCTTTATTCTTTATGTTGTTCTTTTTGTATCTGATGAGTTTGATTTATAATTATTTTTCTTAATATTTTGCACCTGTATGAATGAAGGAGATTTATGTTTTTTTCTCTAGTTATTTTTGTACAATAGTGGTGTCACTATTTGGGGGTAACCAATTACTTTATTGCTTGGATTTGAGATCCACTCCATAGGAGAGAATTCATGTCTGGTATTGTAAACCTAGTCAAAAGCTAGTGGTTGATTAGGATATAGATCCTAGTGGAGAAGCTACTGCAACTATTATATTGCTACATGGATACAATGTTCTTGTCAAATTTGCTTTCTCAATCTTTATGGTTTTTATTTTTTTATTTTTTGGTATTTACAAGACAGGGTTTCTCTGTATTGTTTTGGAGGCTGTCGGTCCAGCCTGGCCTGGAACTCACAGAGATCCACCTGCCTCTGCCTCCAGAGTGCTGGGATTAAAGGTGTGCGCCACCACCGCTCGGCTCAATCTTTATGTTTATGCTTGTAGGTTAAGGCTGCTGACAGTTTTTGTTATGGAAGAGTCTTTTTGTAGTAAATGGCAGTTACTGTAGAGGCTCATGGATGATCAAACTTCTGACAGCAGTGATTGTTGATTGCTCAGCTGTAAAGGAAACAGTGATGCTATTAAGGCTCAGGGAACATCAAGAAGGATAGGCTGAAACAATGTAAGATCTGGAGAAAGGGGTGGAGTTCTGTGGAATTCTTTCTCCTGGGCATAGCCTAGCCATTGCCTGTTTGAGCTCTTAGCAGCTGTAGGTTGTATAAGCTGTAGACCTGTGTAAGACTGGACCTGTCAACATTTCATCATGAGGAACTTGGTGCTTTGGGGGCAGGTCTTATGAAGCCTACACATCGCTGAATATCTATAGGTTGTTGATTCAGGGAGAGATATTTCCTTCATCGATGTAGCCACTGGTAAGTTGCCCATTCTCCTGAAAATAGTCTTTCACTCATATTCCTGTGAACAACCCCCATGAAACTCAGTGGGCCATAATAAACTAACAAACAAACAAATAAGAAAGACATGAAAGTAGAAGGGGGCTATTTGAGAAGAGGAAGGGTTTTTTAGTGGGAGTGTATGTAGACTAAGAGAAAGTAATGGGGTGAACATGATCAAAATGCATTCTATACATATATGAAAATGTTGCAATAAAACCCATTATTATATATTAAGATATGCCAATAAAAATCTTTAAGAAAATGTTGCTCCATATGTTTTTGTTTAGCTGTTCAGTAGCTAAATGTTGTTTTCTTTTTTGGCCCTTAGCTGATAAATGTTTGTAGGTATTTTTTGGTGTAATGTGACATTTTGATTCACATATATATTCTGTTATAATTAACATGTGTTAATTAGCATATCTGTCTCCTAAAATTTTGACCATTTATTTTTTTATTTGTTTGATTTTTTGAGACAGGGTTTCTCTGTGTAACATCTCTGGCTGTCCTGGAACTCACTCTGTAGACCAGGCTGGGCTCGAACTCACAGATATCCTCCTGCCTCTGCCTCCCGAGTACTGGAATTAAAGGCATGTGCTACCATTGCCCAACAGACTTTACTATTTCTTTATGATAAGTATACTTTAAATCTTCTCTAGTAACTATTTGGAGATAGCAGAATGAATTATTGTTAATTATATTCACTCTGCTGTGCCATAAAACCTCAGAACTTATTCTTCCAATTAAATATCCCTTATGCCCACTGGTTAATCGTATCCATACTTCTCTTGTCTCTGTTAGCTGCTGTTCTGTTTTCAAATTCTATGTGATATTTTATCTGCTACATATGAAGGAGATCATGTTAGTGTCTGCCTTTCTGTCTTTGACTTACTTCAGATAATATATTTTTCAAGTTCACTTAACATATTTCCATGTTGTAATCGATAATATTTTATTGTTTTTATGGCAGGATAGCATTCTATGGCATATATATATATTCACATCTCTATCATCTATCTACCTATCATCTATCTGTCTATCACCTGTTTATATATTCATATCTTTATCTATTTGGACATTGAGAGACAATTAAGTTGATTCCATATCTCAACTTTTGTGAGCGATGTTCCAGGAGATATGGAAGTGCGATCTCATTTCTTTTCTTTTTTTTTTTTTTTTTTTTTTGGTTTTTCGAGACAGGGTTTCTCTGCATTGTTTTGGAGACTGTCCTGGAACTCACTCTGTAGACCAGGCTGGTCTCGAACTCACAGAGATCCGCCTGTGTCTGCCTCCCAAGTGCTGGGATTAAAGGCGTGCGCCACCAACACCCAGCGTGATCTCATTTCTTTCAGATAAAAACCTCGAAGGACTACCAAACTGTTTTCTGATGTAGCTATCATTTTAATTTCATTTTAATTTCAGTTGATCTATCTCTCTGTATATATCTGTCTGTCTGTCTGTCTATCATTATAATAGGAAAAGCTAAAATATTTGATGGTGAAAGTCAGTAATT